GCAAGTTTCCTTACTTCCACGCGCCTAATAATAATCCCTCCAAAACAAAACAATAATAAATTGGTCATTTTCAGTCCACGACTGTTTGTGGGGCACCTCTGTGTGCAATTAGCTGCCAGGTTTCGCCCACAAATATACGGTCAATTAATCTTACAGTCTGTTCTGTGAAGCGCTTTGAGACGTCGAGAAGACTTGAAAACCGCTATATCAAATATTATTAGACAAGGGAATCTTGATTATGTATCACAGAGAAAGTAACCTCCCCCGGTGGGGAAAAGCCGAACGGGTCAGAGCATGGATGTGGGGTTTAAAGGACAGCTGAAAGGGGAACACAACACTGAGGTTCCACATTGGCTCCGTGAGGTGGAGTGTAGATTGATGTAGATTGATGCTGTCAGTGTCTGAGGTGAGAAGGTGCTAAGGGGAGCGAAGCAGAAGAGCTTATCTTGTTAGCATCCAACTGGAGAAAGTTGGCTCTCGTCCAGGACTTGATGTCGGTCAGAGCAGCAGTGGTCCAGGAATCAAAGGAACTTGACCCATTCCTGCAGATAACATTGCCGAGTGGGCGCATGTAGATATTAAAGAGGTGAGCACCGGGGATGAACTCCTGAGAACATGATGTGGAGGAGGGAGAAGAAACCATTGGCAGATCCGAAGTGGAGACCGTTGGGATAGGTAAGAATGAAACCAGGACAGAACTGTGAAGGTGGAGCTGAGAGAAAAGGCAATGAAGAAGAATAGAATGATCAACATTATCAAAGGTGGCAGAGAGGTCAAGAAGGATGAGGAGGCAGAAGTGGCACTGATCATAGATGAAGAGAATGTCATTGGTACCCTAACCATACTCAGTTCTTTGTATACTCAATCCATGCATAGTTTTTGTACCCTGTCCACGCTCAGTCTCCAAGTACCCTATACACGCTCAGTCCTCTATGTACCCTATCCATCTCTATGTACTGTATCTATGCTTGATCTCTTATGTATCCTATCATTTCTTCAGTCTCTATAGTCTGTACCAAAACGATTCATAATTTTGAAAACCTCAGATTCACTCCCGCCCCCCCCAACCCAACATTCTCTGTGCCAGCAGAGACAGTCTCAAGTTTTACTCTCCACATAACTATAATCTTTCATTTCTGGTATCACCCTAGCAAATCTCCACTGCACCTTCTCCATGACTGATAACCTTTCTGTAATAAGCTTCTCAAATACTCAAAACATCCAATTCAATTTTAAGATATACGTATCTACAGCTAGGTGTGAGCACATTCAAAATAAGCTCCACATTCCTTTCTCTTCCATAAGCCTTCTCTGTTTAAAAATATACTATTTACAAATACCCACTGTAACATTGTTAAACTTCCAACTTGAATAGCCAACTGAGGGAAGGAATTTTCCTTACTGAGTTTCCAGCCATCATTGTGTGACTTCTGTAATTTTTCTTTTATGATGTGTTTTATGCGATTACTGTTTTTAAGTGACATGTGGGCTTTTCACCTCTTTTTTTCTGTTTCAATCGATTAACTGTGAAAACAGGAATGAGACATGGGAATTATAGACTTATTCATTGTTAATCTAACATCTGTGGTGGGGAAAAGAACTGTGAAACTGAAGAATACTGTGCATACTTTTTTTTAAATGCAAGAGGAATGCCTTATGAATCCATTAGAGTTCTTTTGAGAGGTTAATTGCACTTTTGGAGGTCAACTATCCAGTGCATCTACAAAAACAACAAAATTACATTTATATCGCGTCTTTCACGTCGGAAGTCTCAAGGCGCTGGACAGTTAAGGGTTTCACCCAAGCTGGGGTTTGGAATTGAAGAATTGAGGGTAGGGAGGTGGGAGAGTGGCTGAAGGCACGATCAAAAAAGAATGTCTTGAGACAAGCCTTGAAGGAGGGTAGAGAGGCAGAAGGATTCTGGGATGAATTTCCAGAGGGTGGAGGGCAGAAAAGCTGAAGGCCCTGACCGCCAATAGTGAGACAGATGGGCAGAGTAGGGGATATGGAGCGGAGGGAGTGGGCAGGTTGGTATGGTGTTAACAGGTCACAGAGGTAGGGAGCAGCAAGACCATAGAGGGCTTTAAAAAGAGGACAAAGATAATAAACTCAATCCTCTGAGGGATAGATAGCTAGTGGAGCTGGGCAAGGGTGGGGTTGATCAGTTCATGGAGCTTGGTGCGGGAGAGGACATGAGCTGCAATATAGATTCTGAAAGGCAAATGCTAGCTGGGCTCATTTGGTAGCACTATCACTCCTGAGGCAGAAGGTTGTGGGTTCAAGCCCCGTGTCGGGACATTGAGTGTCTAGGCTGATACCAAAACAGTGCTGGCTGGGAGAGCACTGTATTTTTCACAGATGCTGTCCTTTGAAATAAAGAGAATAATTTGGCATTTTTAAAAAATGCATGTCCCCCATCCTACCATTAGCAGCTGAGCTTTGATCTTATCTGCCCCCACTGTCTGGAACTCCATCCTGGAGATCCTCCAAATCACCCCTTCCCTCATGTCTTTCAAGACCTGCCTCTTCAGACACTGTCTTAGGTCATCTTTCTCCTCCCCACCTCCACCCCCAGCTTGGATGCCAAGTCAGGACTGTCAAATGCCTTAGGATGTGCTCACGACATGAAAGGCACTATATAAAAATAAATTTGTATTATAGTGGCCTCCGACATTGATACGTTTTTAACGTGTGGATCCCTAAATAACGTGCAACTTTTAATTACCGGAAAACAGCCCAAATCAGTCAATAAATTCTTGATTTAAAAACATAAGAAATGCTAGATGAAGAAAAGACCAAGGTCCGTCTAGTTTGCCTTCCACCTTCCTGGCGGTCGCGTACACATATGTCCCAGACTACTTATGTACTAAATCCCATCATGTTATTTCTTAAAAGAAAACTATCTAATCTGTTTTTGAAAGAATTAACATTTCCTGCTTCAACCGTTTCCCTAGGGAGCCTGTTCCACAGGTTCACTATTCGCTCACTGAAATAGCATTTGAGTAGATGCGTTCTGAATTTACCCCCTTCAATTTCAGGCTGTTTCCTCTGGTTTTGCTATTCTGAACAAGTTGAAACAGCCTGTCATGATCTATATTGTCTGGCCCCTTTAGAATCTTAAAGATAGCAATCATGTCGCCTCTCGATTCTCTCTTTTCCAGGGTGAACATGCGCAATTTACTTAGCTGCTCCTCATAGTCCAGTCCTTGCATACCCTCAAATCATTTTCGTTGCCCTCCTCTGTATCTTCTCGATTTCTCCAATATCATTTTTGCACTGAGATGACCAGAACTGTACATCCTACAGTTCTAGAAATCCTACAAAGTTGACCCCAAAGTGTGAGAAGCTATAGTTTATCATATTTTTAGAAAAAAAAGTATATCAGGTCACAAACAATATTTCAATTATGAAATGAGTATATTTTCATGTTTAATATTATCCTTTTCATTATGGAAAGATTTTGATATACTGTATAAAAAATGCAATGTTCGCTTTTCTGTAGCGAACTCTATAAATGACATAACAGTGAACTCCTGATAATGAAACACTGGCTTATTTCATCACATGGCTTCTGTCACCATGCTGTCAATATCCTGGCCCATGCTAAAAGTAAATAAGGGAATCCCCTTTATTTCATCATTCCGCTTATAATGTACTAGCTGGATCCAATATGGAATGTAAGATTACATATCTATACTCATCTTGGAGGACTCAGTGGAAGGACTCGGCACTTTAAACCTTTATTTTGTTGTTGCCGAGGCTTAGATTCATCTGTGTTCTTTATTTGGTTCTCGCTGCTTGGGCACGTGCGTGCTCTTGTGACGCAGAATGCCATGATCAGCCAGCGCAGACACCAGGTATAACTGCAATGTGTACATATATACATAGGTGCTCTCTGACGCACGATGCTACAGCGCCTCTTTTAACTCGGCGGCCACTGGGTGTAACTGCAATGAAAAACTGAAAATAACTCATGAACGATAGGAGATACCCGGAAACAAATATGCTCATATCACTCCCAGATGCAAAACCTTTCCAATGAGGTATAAATCATGTCTCTACGTCAATTGGTTATTGAGATCCTTCTTGAAGAGCAGAGACATTGTTGTATTAATAGTATATAGATAGAAGATAGGTAAAGTTGCTTTCTACACATCCCCGTAAGTAAAATATCGGACTGTCATCAAAGTAAACTTACTATAATTGTGGGAAAATGTCACCAAGACGCTCAGCAGCAAAGCCAAAGCAAAGAAAACTTTCGCGATGAGCATACTAACATGGGAAAACGTGATAATGATGAAAATACAGAATTGTAATTGTAACAAAATCTGACCAAGGATGCCAAAATACAATTGAAGCAAGTGTTAACATCTGAAGGCAGTGTGGGCCTCACAACGATAAACTCATTAACGTATTCCAAAGAGCTATCTGCAGAAATTACTGTCATTCTCGTGCATCTGAAAAAGTGACATAAATTCCCTTTATAGTACAGGACCTCTGATTCTGCTGCATAGCGTGTGTCATAAACCTTCAGAAGGAAGTGACAGAAAATCTAAATCAATGACAGACCTAATGTGAAATGTCAAGTGTTAAATATTCATTGGATGCCCTACCTATTTAGCTGGTACTTGACAACTGGATATAGCATAAAAACTGTGGGGTGGGTGTTGGTGTAGGTTCTCCAGGCGTAGATAGTTATTGAGCTCTTTTCCCTTGGAGTGACGATGTATCAGGAATTTACCGTTTGGTGGTCCAGCATTTTACACCAAATTTTGTTTACAAAATAAGTAAAAAGATGTTTATCAGTCTGAAATTGTTCATGGTAGAAAACCTGGCCCAGGATGTCAAAGTACAATTGAACCTAATTTGGAAAAACAGCCTGTTTGAGCTGAAGGTGAAATGAATTATATTTCAGTGTTATAGTATAAAAATGCTGCTACACAACTTAGAGCATTAAAATGTTTTTAAAGCTTTTTTCCATCGTATTCTGCTCTCTTCAGGTTAATATAAGTGCTGTTGAGAACGAAGAGAAACGGTACCGACTCTTCTTGGAGCTGCTAGACTCCAGTAATCAAGGAACTGAATTTCAGCATTTGGTGTTGCTTCTTCAAGCTTGGCCACCTATGAAGTACAAAGACATGTGAGTGTCAGTGTATATGACCGTACAATAGCTGCAGCAGTACTGTTCAGTAAATCTTGCAAATAATGAACTGGTACAACACAATATATCAGATACCGTAAATTATGCATTTAATAATTCTCTTCCTATTTATCTGAGAAAAGCTATTACAGAGTCTCAGGAAAATTTCTACATTTCATCTCTTCTGTGACTTAGGGGGTTTTATTAGCACCAATAAAGAACTTTTGAGTAGAAATTTATGGATTTAAATTTGTAGGGCAGACTTGCATCAACTAAAAATTATTCGATTCATTTATTAAAAAAAAGCACAATGATTGTACAATTGAAGATATGAATGTTTCATTTCTAATTAAAGTAAGCATATTTATATGCCGGAATATATTGTTTTAAATATTAACATTTATACAAGAACAGTTTTTCATTTAGAAAATTTAAAAGATGAGTCTGGATAGCACAGTGTCAGTGCTAGTAATATAGTCAATGGTCAATTTTGTAGTATTTCCTAAATAAGAAATCCATTTGGGGACACTATCTTATCACCCCGGCTAGAGGAATCCTACTCTGTAAATAGATTCCCATGGCCTCATGAACTTCTTGATCAAGAAATATTAGAGAGACAGTCAGGCCTCATGTAGACTTGAGAACCCAACTTAGAAGAAATGCACTGACCCAAGGAGACTTAGGCTGTGCTGAGAATCTTAGTAAATCTGGGTTATCTTCCTTAGAGCTGAAGAGGAGATGTATAAAATAAAAGATCAGTCAGCCAGGAGTGTGGAAACCTCATGCTTTGCTGATCTCCAGTTTCAGTCGAATGAGAACATAAAGAAGCAGAGTTTATCTTTCCTATTTTGAGGGAGTGCAATCTCTTTCTAAAGGAGTGGGAGGAGAGAGAAAACACAACTCGCTTCTCTATGCATGGATATTATAGGTGCAGTTTGGTATCGTATTAGGTATCCCAATATACACCCCGAGATAGAGCTGGAATTACAGCAGATAAAATTGTGCATCTTACCAGTACTGATCAGCTTCCCACTGTTTGATCAGCTTGCAGAGTTGCCCGGAGCGAAACAAATAAATCTACCCCTCAAAGTTTGATTGATGAGTGGGCAGACTGGTCAATCAACAATCAACAACAAAGCTCTGGATTACTGTGGACATGGCTGGCTCAGAAATTGGATCAGAGTATTGGCTTAGCTCTGCTTCCCTTTGCCAGCATATCACAGTGGCACTATCTCAACTCCTTTTACATAAAAGAAGTAACCAGTTCGATAGAGAGCAACTCTTCTCTCAATTAGGGGAATTCAGAATTAGGCCAAATAATCTTAAAATTACAGCTAAACGTTCTGTACTATTAGCATCAGCTTTGCTATTTAGCAACATGTTTTTACCCTCATTATTAAATAAGGCACTGAATATTACACACATTTTAAATGACTATTCCCCATACATTCAAGTTCACCATGTCAATCCAGAAGTGTTCTGCTGTAAAACAATTTATTATTTCTGACATCAGATACTTTTGCAATTCTTTAACATATCTCTTGAGGTTTATATTATTAATGAGGTTCCGCAATGCAAGCTTCAGTGCAATTTTGTTTAACCTACTGTGGCACAGATTTGTAGTATTAAATGTTCAACATGGATTTCCCATTGGATAGGATTATGTCAATTCTATCTGTGACTAACTAATTCTAACTTCTGCTTTGCTACAAAGAACTTGATTTAAAGGGAAATTGATCTTTTCAGGGATAAAAATACATTATTCATAAAATAAAGTATCTGATTAGTTTATACAAGAAAAATGTTGTTCTCAAATGTGTGAGAAGTTGCATCTTTCAGACTAGTTAGTATAAGCTGTAAAAATCACAAATTTTATCACCAGCAAAATCATACTAGAAAACATGTCTCAAAATAACCTTTTCCCACCCAAATGGCCAAATATCTTGCCTGCTATTTATAATCGAGAGGGAGAGGGAATGAGGCCATTAGTGCCATATTCCCAATCACTTATAAACCAGCCCTATATACACAATGGTAAGAAGGACAAGCGGGCACAGTTCAGGGTTGTAATGAGCAAGTTGAGGACAGACACCAGAAAGTATTTATTTACACATAGGATAATCAAAAGGTGAGGCAGGTTACCTGTAATAATAGTTAAGGACAAGATTCAGAACTTGCTTCAACCACAGAATCTGGCAGGGAATTCCACATTATGGATAAAGAAGTTGCTTCTAATATACTAAATCAGTACTATAGTGGATAGAATGTCACTTTAAATATTGTACAGTTCAGTGTGTCTGGTGGAATGTTACTGGAGTGTGTCAAGTTTATGTTCCTCACTGAAACTCCTTCACCAATACAGGTCAAGTGAAGAGGGCAATGCTTGGATTAAGCTTACAACTGCCATGTTGACAAAGTGTTCAACTGAACAGAAAGGTGCCATGGGAAGCGAAGTGCTTGCCATCTGCCGTTCTCTTTACAAGACAAAGCACAGGCTACCACTTCAGGTAATGTAGATTTTTCATGTTTTATTTTCTTTTCTCAAAGTATTTCAAACACCTGGGTGGGGGGGGTAAGGAGGGGAAAGATGACCAAAAGAGATGAGTTAAAGTGGTAAGTCTTGAGGTGAGCTTGGAACGTGAGGAGCAAGCGAGTTGGGGAGACTCTGGGATAATTTTCCAGAGAGTGGGGCAGAACAGCTGACAGCGTCCCATCATTAGTGGGGCAGGTAGGGCAGGTGACATGAAGCAGGTTGATGTTCACTGAGTGAAGAGAGTGACTGGGCTGGTAGGGTTGTAGGAGGTCGGGTGGGCTGAGGCTGTGAGAGTTGAAGGCGAGAATGAAGATCCAGTAGAGCAGAGTAAGGATGGGAGAGGGCATGTGCTGGATAGGATAATCTATGAAAATCAGGTGAGGCATATTTGCCACATCCCTTATATACCCCCTAGCGGCTGAACAAAGCACTGAAAGTAGAAGGTGCCCCCAGAGCACCTGCATGACTTTGAAAACCAACTTGTGAGGAGTGTGGAGTTGGAGAGGAAAGTTTTTACCCTGCAAATAAAATCAGTCATACACTTAATGGCTATTTGCACAAATTATATTTTCCACAAAACACATGGTCACTGCCCTTTACAGTATGTCCTGTGAAACGCTTTGGGATGTGCTCCTGATGTGAAAGGCATTATACCAAACGTAAGGACTATTATTAATACTCTTCAAACTTCAACAGACATTGGCGTAGATTTCAGTTGTATATTTGAGCTGAACAGAAGTTCAGGAACTATTACATTCTGTTCCAGTTTATATACATACAAATGAAGATCCATGTCACCAAAATCCTTCATGCCAAGGGTGACATTTTATTTCCTTTTTGCTTCCATTTTCAGCAATGAGCACTTTGTAAAATGTGAAATTTCATTTTGCAATGAAGCACCTTGTCTAAAAGGAAGTGTGCTTGTCAAGGAAAGAGATCCTCCAGGTCACATTTATTCTTTTGATTTACAATGTATATCTTGGTACCTTTCAATACTAAAAAGTAAGTTCAGTATCTAAAGTAAAGCATTTAAAATCTTTTCTAAAAGCTACTCAAAAAAATTAGAATGTGATGATTCCAAACCTTTTCATCCTTATTTTCTCATCCTATTTTTTTCTCCAAGGATGAATCAATCCAGAAACTAGGAGTCTGTTTCAAAAAGTTTCAAATGTTTCCAAAGGGGCATTGAGTCTCAACAGTTTTTTTAATGTTCCCTGGAGATTTCCTGTTGCTAACGCTATGTATTCTAATTTACTCCGCGGTGCACTATTTCCATCTTCCTTCACATTTGAATCACAAGGAAATACTGCAGGGTAGCAATACATTAGTAAATTGCACTGTAGTCTTGCATATGGGAATTGATGTGTGAGAGAACTAACACAAGCCTTAACAATCTTACAAGTTTTACTAATTCTTAACATATTTTTCTAATGGCTATTCAGTCACATGTGTGGATAATAATTTGGAGGGAGTCGCAAAGTAAGAACAAATTCTAAATAACCTGAAATGCTGGGTATCTACATCTGAGAATCAGTATCTGAAAAAGCAAAACAGGTTAGCATTTTGGATGTAATTTGGACTATTTTGGATGCTGATTGTCATGCTTTCTTGCATTTGTTTTAATTCAGAATGACAACATTTGCCATTTATATTTTTATTTCTAAGAACTCAGATGCTGTAGCAGAGATTGCTTTGTACTCTTTCCTTGCAATATATCTAAAACAGCTGTTAATGAAATCAGATCACTTTTTACAAATATTCGGAGCTCCTTGAGTACTTTGTAGGGTGGTAGGATGGCATGAATGAGTGCTTGTTAAAATCGTAATGATAGAAAAGATATAGAACTGGTAGAGTGTTGGTGAATTGCTTGGAAGAATGTAACATTTGCTTATAACCTTGTGTATTAGTTATAAGCTTGTATACATTAGAATACATTAAAATATACAGCACAGAAACAGGCCATTCGGACCAACTGGTCTATGCCAGTGTTTATGCTCCACATGAGCCTCCTCCTTCCCTTCCTCCACTAAGCCTTCAAATATAACCTTTCTCCCTGATGTACCCATCTAGCTTTCCCTTAAATATATCTATGCTATTTGCCTCAACAACTCCCTGTGGTATAGCATGTTCCACATTCCCACTACTCTCTCTGTGAAAAAATGTCTTCTAACTTCCCTATTTGATCTATATGTGACTATTTTATATTGATGGCCCCTGATTTTGGTCTCCCCCACAAGTGGAAACTTCTTTATGTCTACCCTATCAAAACCTTTCATCATTTTAAAGACTTCTATCAGGTCACCCTTTACCCTCCTCTTTTCAAGAGAAAAGAGTCCAAGCATGTTCAGCCTTTCCTGATAGGTATCTCAGTTCTGGGATCGTCTTCATGAAACTCTGGAACTCCATCCCACGGTCCCTTCGCCTCGCTTCCACCCTTGCCTCCTTCAAGACCCTTCTCTTCAACCGTGCCTTTGGTCTCCCTTCCACCTCTCTGCCTTCCCTCACCCCTACTCCACCCCTCCCCCATGCTCGGGCCCTGACACCTGACTGTTCAGCGCTTTGGGACGTCCTCCCAATGTGAAAGGCATTCTATAAATGTAATTTTGTTGTTGTTGGAACTCCTTTGCACCCACTACATCAGTGCTTCTACATCCCTTCTCTAATGTGGGCACACGAACTGCACACAGTATGCTAAGTGTGGTCTAACCAAGGTTCTATAGAAGTTTACCATAACTTCCCTGCTTTTCATTTCTATCCCTCTAGAAATGAACCCTAAGCCTGGTTTGCTTTTTTTTAATGGCCTTATTAACATGGGTTGCTACTTTTATGAATTGTGTTTGTGTACCCCTAGATCCCTTTGCTCCTCTACCCCATTTAGATTTTATTTTCCAGGATATATATGACATCCTTATTCCTTCTACCAAAATGTACTTTTCTGCATTGAAATGCATTTGCCATTTAAATGTCCACTCAGCAAGTTTATTAATGTCTTGCTGTAATTTGTTGCATCCTTCTCTGTATTAACTACTCCCCCCAATTTGGTGTCGTCCGCAAATTTTGAAATTGTATATTATAACTAACCTTAATTTTTCAGAAAATCAAGTCAAATGCAACTTATATACTTGCATTTTGTGTACTCTGATCAGTTAGTTACAAGTTCAGAAATGGTGAAAAACTGAGAAAATGAAAAGTTTACAAGAGTAAAAAGTAGTGTTTGGATATTTGCAGTTTGAGAGTTCCTACACTTGAGTGGCCTACTATTGAGTATATTATGTTTTTATTTCCTCATGGATACCTCAGTTTGAATATCACTTTTTAACACAGTATTCACATTTACTGACTCACAGCTTAATATGTTTGTGCAGTGTATGAAACAGATTTGGACTATGCTGCTGGACAAATCATTGCTGCTGCCAGCCCTGAAACTTGGAATAGAAAGTGATGACTGTGAACTACAGACACTGGCAATGGAACAGATAAGATCTGTCATTCAGGTATGAACAGCTTCACTGTAAATTTCTTAATTCTCATGTTAGTGAGACAGATATTTGATTTAAACTCTGAAAAGGATAAGTCTTTGTAACACATGAGGAATTATGTCATCCCATAGAATTTCTTGGTAATTTAGGGGGAAGAATTAGAATTACACATATTTTATCTACAAACTTATCTAACTGTGATATTAAAACGATATATTCTTATCTTGGTTTTTGTACACTAACAACCTGAAAAGCACAATTAACTTGTGGAAGTGAATAATTGAACATCAACCAAACAGATTGTCGAACCAAGAAAAAACACTTTGTCCTCATGGTTGTGTTTTGACAATGGGATAGTATACTTTGATAAAGTGTTGTTCTGAATATTGGGTTTAAATGAAAGTTTGTGCATTTTTAGCCTTAAATGAAATGAATTAGACTTTTCAACAGTAATCTCAGTTACTAATGGACCTGAGTACAGATGCACAAAGTATCAGTTTGTCTCAACTGTAGTTAGTATTCCTGTTTCCATGCTGGAAGGATGGGAGTTTCTTGGCTAGCACTCAGTATTGAGTAGTATTGAGGGAATTGCTGCTTTGTTCAGGATATCTTCATTTGGTTAAACTGAGAACACGCTAATTTGCGAATTTTCTCAGTGTTTTTGTCAGTATTCTCTCCTTGAAATTCAGTACTACAAATAGGTGTTCATATTTCAGCTTTGATCGGTGAGCTTTCAGCCACTTAGTCTCTGGAACTCTCCTAAATTACCTCCATCTGGTTTCCGCATGTGTCAGACACCCTGCTGACCAAAAATAAAAATCCCTTCATCTTTGGGGAAATGCCAAGTTCATTTCTGGGTGAGCTGTTGGATTGTTATATACTGGAAACCCTCAACTTTGTAAGGCAGGGCCAAAAATTAGCGAAGTGTACCACCCATCCATTCTCAATATCATACTAACCACCATTTATACCTTGAACATCCATTCCCGAATCCACCCCCCCAAAGAAATTTTGCTGACAAAATACCCAGTCGATTCACTTTACAGTATATTTTGTGAAGCGCTTTGAGATATCTCAACAAAGTGAAAAGGCGCTTATATCAAATGCAAGGATTATTAGGGCCCGTCTCCAGCATATATACACAATCACTTTCAAATGTTTAGCAGCAATATTTATTTTTGACAAAATGTAGCAATGTAGCAGTGAGGTAATGTTGAACCCAACTTGAATATTGTGAAGGAATTGTTCTTGTTTTTAAAAAAAGATATGTCATATAAAATTAATTAAGCTAGTTATTTTTTTCTATATTGAAATGTTCTGTAAAATACTACTGCTACTGGAGTAGCAGCAGCAACTTGCATTGATATAGTGCCTTTCACACAGAAGAGGGTCTTAAAATGCTGTATAGAGACTGAGTGGGAGCCCAGCTGGTTGGGACATAGGGGTGGGAAGTAGACGAAGGCACAATCGGAGGGAGGTTTTCAGATGAGTTTTGAAAGCAGAAATTGAGGAAGTGAGATGGAGGGATTTTTCTTTTTTTTGGTCAGCCAGGTGTCTGACATATGCGGAAATCCATCACCAGATGGAGGTAATTAGGGGAGTTCCAGACAGACAAAGTGGCTGAAAGCTCACCCATCAAAGCTGAAATATGTTGCTATCTGTAGGAAAAATTTATTAGTGGCTTTATTTTGCTGCCACATTTTTCTGGTCAGCTGGGGTCTAACAAAGACAGAAACCCATCATCATGCTTAAGAATATCTAAACCAAACTAAAATTCCAAATATGTATGTCACCTATGATTAGAGATTGCACTGTGAATGAAATAACATGTACTCTCCCTATAGGGATGTAATATTCTTATCTAATTCTGGGGAATATTCAGTACCAAAAGCTAAATTTGCAGATCCCAGAGTGTTTGTTGGGGTATTACTGGAGTTTAAGTAACTAAACCCACTAGTTAATTGAATCATTCCTCTGAAAGTTTGTTAGTTATAAAATGGCTTCAATGTTAAGCTGCACTTTTAGACTGGTTCTATAACAGCATCAAAGTGTCAAAACATACACATAAACATACAGCGTAATGTCGTACTGACTTCCTCCCTCCTTTACATTTGCAGGAATTTGTCTATATGTATCTTATCCATTGAGATTCAAATTCAAATGAACATTATTTATGGGATTATAGCATTTACATTCCTTGCCATATTTCTTTTATACAAGTTTTAACAAAAGCATTGTCACCTTGGGGGGTGAGAGGAAGAGAACATGCATCATCCTTTGTGTCTTTGGGCAACAAAGAAAAAGGATGTGGCAGAGTCCCACTCCTGATTACTAGCTAGTAACTTCTGCTTGGATAGCGATAGTGTATAGACATTGGTTCACAACAGGATCAGAATCAGCTACGTTGTTTCAGTGGTTAAATGTTCAGGCAAACCTCTGTCAAGTTTCATATGAAAAACGAACTCTTGGTTTTGGTCCCAGACTGCTGCTGGTACCCATAGAAACACATGGCTATCAAGAGTCAGTGATTTTAGGAGAGAAGGGAAGAATATCAAGGGGAAAAAAAACTGCAAGAAGCAGAAGTAATTGTACAGCAGTGCCATTTAAACTATTTTTTCTAATTCTGCTCTTAAGCATTACACCATTCTATTTTGATATCAGGGTGTGTTTTGACAATGGGACAGTGTACTTTGATTAAGTGCTGTTCTAAATATTGGGTTTGAATGAAAGTTTATGCATGTTAAATCTTAAATGAAATGAATTTGACTTTTGAACAGTCATCCCTGTTACTAATGGACCTGAGTACAGATGCACAAAATATCAGTCTGTCTCAGTTGTAGTTAGTATTCCTGTTTCTGTGCTGGAAGGATGGGAATTTAAGCCCTACACCAAGCTAATAATCTAGGCTAGCACTCAGAATTGAGTAGGGTTGAGGGGATTGCTGCTTTGTTAGGAGTATCTTTATTTGGTTAAACTGAGATCTCACTACTTTGAGAATTTCCTCAGTATTTTGGTCACTATTCTCTCCTAGAAATTCAATAATATAGATGGGTGTTCATCTTAACAAACTTCTATATAACATGATCATTTACTTCATGGCTGATGGTGGACTTTGTTGCATGCAAATTGCCCACAAAAGTTACTGCATTTGACAGCAATTACCTATGAAATATTTTGATATTTGACATTATCAGTGCTATAATCAAAGGCAAGAATTATTATTCCTACTGTTGTGAGACATTGTTAGCACAGATTAGACTATTACCTACATAAATAGTCAATATAATCAGGGCAGAAAAAGCATAATTGACCCAATGAGTCTGTCTTAGTTTATCTCAACAGCTCCTGCTTGGTCTCTTCAGCTTCATAGAGACATTTCACAGAGTACTTTATAGAGGTGTATGTTATTGTAAATGGGATTGAGAAAGTAAACCCAGAACAATCCTTTCAGCTATCCCAAGGGAGCAGAACAAGAGGGCACAGGCTCAGGGTTGCAAAACATAATTTCAAGACAGAGACCAGGAATTATTTATTTACAGAGGAAATTAATGACTGGAGCGAGTTACCAGGGAAGTTGGTTGAGAATTGAATGGTGGAATTATTCAACAAGCAGCTTGTTGCTGTTAATGGGAGGAGAGATATTCTGAAAGGAAAAGATCAAATGGACCGAAAGCCCCTCTTCATCTGAATCTCCCTTGTGATATTGTGAATTTCTTTTTTACTCTAGAAATGCACCACTTGTCTCCTGCATCTATTTACTCTGATTTGGTGGCTTTTCCTGATAACTATTCCAAGAGGAGTGGCTTTCAGAAGCATAAATCAATGCCCTCACTAATGAGTAAAATAGAGGTTTTGCAATAACATATAAGAGGAATAGTACTCATCATTTTTTCCCTTCCTCTTCAGATTGATGACTCCAGCTGTGATTCAGAGCTCCTTTCCTTGCTGCTGAACAAGAAATTAGTGGTGGACTGCCTCTCTACTGCTTTCTACCCTCATCTTATGAAACAGCTTTTGGCTGGTGAGGAGGAGGGAATCTGTACTGTGCAAGAGATAGCAGAGCAATTGAACAAAGCAGGCTGCACTGTAGAGGGAGGTTCTCTGCTGATGTCGTACAAAGGCACCCATCCATCTCTAAGTACCTTTAGTGCCGCATTAAATGTTACAAAGAAATGGCTGTGAAAGGGCTTTGCTACGAAGTACAATTTGTTCAGTGCCTCAATAATGAAGTTACAGGTAAAGGGCAAAGTATGGACTTTTTAACCCCGTTAAATACTAACTTGGGTAAAGGTGACTGTAATTGTTACTGTAATTGTTACTGGGAAAGTACTTGTGTCTGATGTTGAGTCCACACTATTGATGTAAACATCTGTGGTTATATAAGCACCCGTATTAACCATTTGTTTCAGTAACTGACTTATTTAGAAGATAAGAGGGGAAAAAAGCCTCTTCAAAAAAAAAGGTACAAATTTATTAAAAGGCGACACAGCAGATCGTGTGCAACTCAAACTCTCATTGTGAAATAATGTATCAAAATTTTTGAATAAAGTTACCATTTTAAAATATTGTGTAGATGGATTTGTGGTTTAAACAGATTTATTGGCTTTGGTTAGGTATTGAAAAAGAAAATGCTTCTGCTATGCAATCACTTTTATCTGTCATTAACATGCAGGGCAGCTACTGCTAGCACAATAACACATTTCAGTTCAGATATGATCGGATGCTAAGATATTTCTAGACTCATTAAACATACATTAGGTTCTGTGGACTGTATTGCATTCTATTAGATTACTGTTCTTCCAAGATTCTTGGACTACACATTCTCCTGAAATGAATTTCTATTCCCTCTACTCCTTCCTCCACTAGAAAGTCACAAGGTTGAGCCCCTATGTGCCTTCTTTTCAGCTGTGAACATCTGCTTATGTTAATAACTTATCAGTGGTTTGTTGTAGCAACTGATTTATTTTTGAATTTAAGACAGAAAAAAAATGGCTTTGGCTTTTAAAAGAAAAATAACCTGGTCTAATTTATTAAAAGGAACACAACAGATAGATAGTGCACCTGGGCCCAGCTGGTCCACCTCCATCAGAGGGTGATGGATCACAAACAATTTCAACAGGGAGGGAATAACCTCTAAGGGTCAAACTGTCCACAATCCAATCACAGATCACTGCCAATGCTGAAACAACATTGAGATGAACATTGGAGAATTTTGCAACGTTGTTAATGAACTCCTTCAAAAGAGAGACAGCCAATTTTCACACAGCAATGTCCCACAACCAATGTAATTTCCAGTGTAATTTTCTTTTCTTTTTAAGTAGTGCCATAGGATCTCTAATGTCCACCTGAACAGGCAGACTGGACCTCAGTTTGATGTCTTATCCAAAATATGGCATATCTAACAAAGAAGCGCACCTCCCAGAACTGCATTGGACCGTTAACCTAGACTGAGCTTAAAATGTCCTGATTTAGGGCTTGAATGAGAGCAGTAATGAGTACTGTGAAGGAAGAATGAATATTCTGAGAGTAATATAAATAATAGTTCTTGGATTTGATGTAGCGGCTTTTCACATTGTCAAAACATCTCAAAATGCTTTACAGTTTTAGTGATTATAGATGTGTAGCTGAACACAGAAGACAATTTGTACAGCAAATAGCCATGAAGTGAATGACCAATTTCATCTGGAGTACAACTGGAGGACCTCCCTTCTCTTTTCAAATAGTGCTAGAGGATTGTTAAGGTACACATGAGTGATCGTAAGAAAGTAACTGTCCTTTGCTTGGTTTATGAAATGAGCAAGCATGTTGGACCAAATAGCTGTTTCTAATTCCATGTTTTCTTATCGTCAATGCTAAAGGTGAATGACTATAGTCAAGACCCTCCTATGCCGTGATTCAAATACTTTCCGATTTATTACTTAATAATCCTAAGGCACATTGCTGATTCTAAACACACTAACAGCTCTACTATGGAACACATCTAAACCTTCTCCACTTCAGCTTTGATTTTCTGCTCAACCTTGTCTGCTGACTGCAAAATCTTTTCAGCTTGGAGTGAGGCAAAGAAAGTAACTGTCAATTCTGATCTATGCTTAGCCTGTGGGAGGCATGAATCAATAGGCTGAGTTGGATTTTGACAGCTCTTCTCACCTCCGACAACAGGAAGAAGAAATGTGGTTTACCTGATGTGATTTGATGGAGCAACCAGCCCTGGGATTCATATTCATTTTCTTGTGCTTGAGCAAGGTCCAATCCCTCTGAGATACGTTGGTAACACATAGCAATAGTTCTTGAGATTTGTTTTTGAAAAGCCAGGTATCAGAGTTATATCATAATAATTCTTGCATTTGATAAATCATGTTATCGTGTCGAGATGCCTCAAAGTGCTTCACAACATATTTTGTGAAGTGGAGTGACTGTGTATTTTGTGAGTAAAAAGCGTCAGTAAATTGTGCACAGTGATGTTTCCCAAACAGCTATGGAGTGAATGACCAATATTATTCAGAGGATTGTTGCCCAGGACACTGGGAGAAACTCCTCTTTTCGAATAGTGCCATGGGATCTTTAAAGTCCACCTGAACAGACAGACGGGACCTCAGTTTAACATCTCATCCAAAGAATGGCATCACCAACAAAGCAATACAGCCCCCAGCACTGTATTGGAGTGTCATCTTAGACTATGTGATTCCAAGTCTCAGCATAGGGCTTGAACCCACAACCTTCTGACTCGGGAGAGAGTGCTACCACTGAGCCAGGCTGAGTTCAAATCAAAGCTGAATTTTGTTATGTAATATTTTATCACACTTAATGCACTTCAAAATTATTTTCAATAATGTTGTCTTACCTCATTTCTATAACATTTTTAAACAATTTACAAATTTTACCCATGTGACTGACCATGTTACTCTGCAATATACTCTAATTAAGATGCCATTTTTCCTCAGTAATCTTTCAATAGTTATCTCATATAGTGTATGATAATAATAATAATATGAATATTCAATTTTTTAATCTTTTTTTTGTACATTTCTGTCAGTAATTCCAATTTTGGATGTGGTAGGAATGCAGTGTATATATTATATATTAAATTGTAAGTAACCATTTTGGTTACACAAAGATCTTTTGTATCTAAAGTGGACCAAACATTCATTGTTTAATAAGCATCGCTGAATCGAACCAGAATTTAAAAATAAAGTATTTGCTCGGTTTCCTAATCCTTTCCTAACCCGATAACTGAAGGGTAGATTATGAACCTCTCTTGAAAATAAGATTTAAACATTTTTATTGGATTTTGGAACATGTAATCTTTTAAGCAAAGTTCTGCATCCCAGTATTTTCCATTAAAGTTTCAGTTGTGAGACTGACTCTTGTGTATATTGTACATTTAATCAAATTCTCCCAAAAAATGCTCTCATCTCTGTCAGTGAATTGACTTCTTCCATGAGGCCAGAAATTCAAATATTTTTGTGGAGTGACTCAGATAATTAACATTACATGGACTCCAATCTACTCAGTTTTATATTTCCACATACCTTTTTATCCTAGGCTTAGATTATTGTGTTGATACAAAGCTAAACTGCAGATTTACAAATTCTATTAAATACTATCTTAAGATGCTAAAATTTGATCTTTCATACCATTTTTATCCGTTATCAATAAAATAAAACTGTTCTTATTTGCTCCAGTTCTTATTTGCTCCTTTATTTTGAGCAACATTTCCACAATTTGATCCACCATCATTTTAAAAATCGCCATTACACGTGTGATGCTGCTTCGCTTTGGAGCTACATGGGGACTAAGGACCACACAATTGTTTCACCCCTGGAACCAGTCAGAATCTAGTTGAGATTGTTACGATTAGTGCCCTCAACCTTTAACAGGAATTAAAGTAAATAATTTGTGGTTATTTCAATCTGGTCCTCAGTAGATTGGAGTCCAACGTAATGTTAATTATCTAAATCAGAGAATTCCTACAATCTTGTCAGTTTGGCAAATGGAAACAGTTGCTGCTCAATCAGTGCTGGATTAGAGTCTGAACACATTTGGGTGGTGTTGCATATTGCTTTAATGACTTAATTGGCAATTGGACATCGACAATAAGAAAAAGCAAGTATAAAAGGATTCTGCAAAAGTGATACAGTAGATTGTGGAAGAGAATGGAAGGTTTAAATAAAGGAACAAGTGAATTGAAACTGTTTTGGATTTACAAATGTTACAGGTGGGAAAATCGTCAGGTCACTCACAATTCAGAAATCCTGATGGGGAATCCTGGTAGCTAGCAGTATGTAACAGGCATATCATGGGATTCCTGCTCCAAAGGGACAGAAGTGACACAACTCAAAAACAAGGAAATTTCTCCTGGTGTCTGAGCTAGGTGAGTCCGCAGTATTCCAGGGTTCTGCTGATGACAGTGTAGCCATCCTGGCTCATTGGTAAGACCTGGAAAGGTAGACCAGTCACTGGGGGAAACAGCTCCTATTAACCTTGGAAGCCAAAGCTCCAAAGCGTAGGGTGGTCCTAGCTGGATAAGCAGCGGGAAAGCTTCCCTGGCAGCGATATCAATGGCAAACAATGCAGTTTTAGCTTTTTAGACTCCAGCAGAACCCCAACGCACACTCTGGGGTCCCCAAGCCTTGATTCTTGTCAACCTAAGCCTAATACTTTCCGACAATCTCTCTGGGATTTTCATGTGTAGGTGGGATGAATGGAATACTCAACTTGGTTTGAATACTCTTAATCATGGTGATGGGTTTCTGCATGTGTCGGATGCCTGGCTGACCCAAAAAACATCCTGGCCAACAAGTCCCCCAATAAAATTGATCATTCACTTCTGTTTGGGATACTCCTGTGTGGAAATTGGCTGCCACGTTTACTTACAAAATATAATTACAATATATCACAGTAAATCCTGTGAAGTGTGTTGCGATGTTTCAATGAGGTGCTGTATACGGTGCTATATTAAATTGCACCTAATATATAATAAATTAACAATTATAAGTGGATGTAGAGCCAGTCATGATGTACCATTTGCAAGATTCCCTATTAGCAATTTTATTAGTTAAACCTATTGTATACCATGAATTTCAACACCACTGTCAGAGTAATTAAGAGGAGAATATAGTACTGCATTTCTATCTAACCCAAGCTACACCTGACTTGGGAGTACTCAGTAAAGGAGAAAAAGAAACTAATTTCCCAGCACTAATACCCCTCACCTCTGGATCTGACAAGTAAAACATTTACAAATGTGTGGAAGCACCTTTGATGCAGGGGAAGGTGGGAATTATTAGGGGAGATATGGGTTTCATGAATGGTTTAGTGAAAAAGTTTAGTCAAAATATTATTAATCCTTGCATTTGATATAGCGTTTTTCACATCTTCTAGACGTCTCAAAGCACTGCACAGAATATATTATAAAATGAATTGACTGCAAAATTGTGGGCGAAATGCAGCAGTCAATGGCGCACAGCACAGGGATTGGTATATGAATACAGGGTTAGTACGTGGATTGGTATATGAATGTTGTGGTCAAAGATTAATAAATGCTCTTAAGAAAGTGTGGTAG